GATTTTTTACAGGATACAAATAATAATAGTTTACTTTGTTGTTTTACCCAAGGAAAATTATGGCAAGAAAAGTTACAACTTTACAAGGACAAAATTATTTTACCATACTTTTTATACACGGAAAAAAAATTGTAGAAAAAATTTCTACAATTGTAGATTTTTTCTCTACAATAAATAGTACATATAGGGACAGGGACAATTTGTAGTAAAAATTTCCAAATATTTGTGGAGAATGTATTGTAGAGTTATTATCTACAATATTTAGGAAAAATATCCAAATGCATCATAAGAATTGTTCTACAAATTGTTATAATTTTTGCTATTCATTGTATGAATTTATATTAAAAATGTATTGCGTTCTATGAAAATAAATACGAAAATTTTACACAATAAATAGTAAAAATTCATACAAATTGTAGTAATTTTTAATAAAATTTGTAGTAGTATTCCATAATTATTATAATTATAACCTAGAAAAAAATGTTCCTTAATAAAATATTCAATTTATTGTTTTAATATAAAAGATACAAATTCTTAATTACATTATGTAATAAATAACAGTAATAATAGCGCCCTCAGTCTCAGTTGGCTTTTCTGAACCTGAAAAATATGAAATAAAAATTAATACCAATTGAACGGTTCATACCCTTAAAACGGGGATATTTATCACCTTTACACTGATTTGGATATTAAATGACTAAGTCAGATAACTAACAAAAATGAGAAAGTAGGTACGTCACAATTAAGACAAAAAAATATCATTGAACTTGGCACAAAATTCGATTGTTGGGCACAACATTCGATCGTTGGCCACAACTATTTTTTTTAAATAATCTACTAAGGTTATTTAAATTAGTTATCTAAAGGTAAATTATTCAGAAACAATATTAAATGTACTTACCACCAATAGAATTTATTATTAAAATTTTCTCAAACGCATCGGTGCTTATAATATAATAATGTGTTATAGGTACTCGTATATGTACCATGCTTTGTTATGTGAACATGGCGAACGGCTACTGCTGTCTGGCCGTTTATGATCGACGTCAGAAAACGTTGGCCAATAGCAGAACTTTGTTTTGTTCACATGACTAAGAATTTCTACAATATTGTAGAATATTTTTCAACAAAATTGAATGTTTATTATAAGAAGGGATGTAAAGTATTACTATTTTTTTTAGAGAAAATTTCTATTTTTTGTGGAGATAATTATTAATATTTGTACAAATTTTTACAGAAGTTAGTAGTAGTAATTACGATAATTGTAATAAATTTCTACTTCTACAAACAATAGTAAAATTTACTAAACATTGTGGACTTCTTTCCTATTGTTGTAGCATTTTATTCGACAATTCAATTGCTACAATAATTAATAGTTTTTAACTATAAATTGTAGTAAATTTTTCTACAAATTGTTAAGTATTTTTCTACAAGTCTACTACTACAACATTGTAGTAAAATTTTCTAGTCACATTTTTTTCCGTGTATGCAGACGACTTTGTTTTTTTTTCTCCTTAGTATTACATTATCTATATTTTTATTGTAGATGGACGAAATGTTGCCATTATCTTCCTCCTTCACGCAGCTATTGTGCCAACATCCAAGAAGACAGAAAAAGTAGGTACTAAGAAAGTATTAATCAAGTACACAATAAGTGATTCCCAGGATGCTTTTATGGTAACAGGTGCCAGTTTAGCCGAAATCGAAACTAAACTTTTGTTACTAAAAAGTAAAAAGTTACCCATTCAACCCCACCTAGTAGTAATCTATGATGATAATTTATTTCACCCCAAACAATACTTGGTATGTTGTGATCAAATTAAATATAGCTTTTTTTCCCCAATTTCGGCTCTAAATTGCTGCCTTCAACTATATCACGTTTTTAATTTAAGTTATCCCTTAGAATGTGTAGCAGTCTGGCAATTTTTACAAATTTATTTTTTCGATATTAAAACCCAACATGATATGGTACTTCCAACTATCAATATATTTTTAAATGAGCTAAGCAAAAAGGTTCAGGTTTAAAAAAATATATAGTTTTTTCAATAATAAAATAATCAGAATATTTTATTGGACATGCCCGATATACAGGGTTTTCCGTAATGATATTCCAATATTTTAACAATCAATTAAGGGGGAGTTTTCATATAAAATTTTGCAATTTGGATCCTTTCTATCGAGATATTTCATTTTGAAAATGGCAAATATAATTAGTTTTTTTAACATTTGACTAAGAATTTTGGTAATACACATTATCCGCTAGTCGAATCCTATTTTGTGATGGTAATTCTTCTTTCAGTTCATGTTTGTGAAGGGTATAGATTAGCAAGCTCTTTTTTCATTTCTTTCAGAACTGTTTTCGTTAAAAGCCAATTCCAACAAAATTTTCAACACTACACGCACTTTTTTCGTACATTCAACAGTTAACATACAAAAAATTAAAATAATTTCACTTGACTTTTTAATAAAATTGGCGTCATTGATTACTACAAAACGTATTAGGCGGCTGTTATTTTTTGCTTTGTCAAAAAATCACATTTATGTCAATTCCTAAGACTAACTTTTAAAAAAAAATTTTTTTTTTGCCAATTTGAAACTTTAATGTCATTGTCTTGACAGAAGAGACCAAAATTGTAAAATTTTGTAAGAAAACCCTTCCTTAAATGCTTGGTAGACCACCCTGTTAAAATATTGGAACATCATTACGGAACAAATTATTTTTTCGTTATTCCGTAGTCAAAATTTGATGTTAATGTAAAGAACAGATTCTTTTACATAAGTAATAGAATCAATTCAAATCAATTAAATAATTGAAAGAATATTTTTTATTTTAAAATCTATATTTAGATTGAATTTATCTCCACTTAAATTTTTGCTATATATTTGAATGACTTCTAACGGATTCTGCAAATGAAAAAAGCTTCGTCGTATTAAAATGTGTTTTTACGTTTACTGGAAATATCAATTTCAAATGGTTTTTTTCCAAACATTGCAAGTAGAATTTTTCAACCGTATGTATCACTCTTATATTTTTCAATTTACTGAAAGGTACTTAGGCTTTATAACAACGTAATGTTAACCTATTTAAAAAGATATATGACATAAATCTCATAGTACTAATGAAAAGACCATACTTCTATTTCAATCCTTTGAACAGTTAAAAGCCATTCGAATAGGGGAAAAGATATGCGAAATCCGGTATATTTTATAACTTGGTCTTGTGCACAGATTCTCCTGAAATTTTTCAAAGTAACAGTCGTTTTATGTAAAACTGTCACTAAAGATCCACCTTAAAGCTTTAAGGAGACTCTGTGGATATATGGCTGATAAAGATTCTTGCGATATTTCTGTTTTGTTAAAAAAGTCTAGTATGAAGATAAAAACTATGTAATATTTTTATAAGTTATTTTTTTTTGTTCTGAAAATAAATATTTTTATTTTTAAAGTATTTTAATTTACATTACCTTTTACCTATATTTACACGTATATTTTTAAACACGCTGAAAAGAAGTCATACAGTTTTCTTTTTAGTAATATAAGTGTGCTAGAAACTTTGCATCCAATGAAAAACTTTGTTTACAATTTCACTCTTGAAATAAAAAAATAAGGGCAATTTAAGAAATTATGAACGCCGAAGAATAAAATATTCTTTTATTGTAAAATTTAAATATTCTGACTGAAAAATGTGAAAATTCAACCCAAATTACTTTAACAAAATTTAGCTCCTTACTAAGCTACAGGGTATTTTATTAAAAAAATTAAAAATTATTTTGCCCATTAGGATATCTTTCAATATTTTTGTTTATACTTGACCCAAAGTTTATGCACGTAGTGACCGAATTTCACTCTGCTACATTCTACGCCACGGACAAACTAAGTCCCTACTTCTATTATTACGACTCTAGTAATAGTGAGGATAAGAAACTTTCTACAATAATTTAAATTGTCCTAACAAGCAACCAAACTTTTTGCCAAGTATGAACAAAAAAGATTTGAAGGTATCACAACAGTGGGCAAAAATAATTAAATAGTCAGTAAGGAGCAATATTTTGTCTAAGTAATTTGACTTAAATCTTCATATTTTGAAACAAAAATTTTCCATTTATATTATTTACAAATATTAATGAAACACTATTCATGTTACACAAAAGTACTGTTATGAGGATAATTCATTTCTTTAAATATAATAATATATTTTTATTAATGCAAAAGAAACAACATTGTCATAATAGAATATAAATCTATATATTTAATAGTTATACTATTTATGTTACACAAAATTACTGTTGTGAAAATAATTATTTTCTTTAAATATAATAACATATTTTTATCACTGCAAAAGAAATACTATTGTCATAATATAGTATAAATCTATATATTTAATGGTTACACTATTCCTTTTACAAAAAAGTACTGTTATGAACATAATTCATTTCTTTAAATATAATAACATATTTTTATGAATGTAAAATAAACACTGTTAGCACAATAAAATATAAATATTTATATTTAATGGTCACACTATCCATGTTACAAAAAAGTACTGTTATGAGGATCGTTACTTTCTGTAATATTTAATAATTAGACTTGCAGCAAAAGAATCATTTTATTATTATGGTAACAGAAAAGTTATTATATCTATCAGGTTTTGTTGAAAGTGGATAAGTAACAAAATAGTTTCTGTAAATTTAACAGAATATTAGATTGACCAAATACGGATCTTATTACTGTTAACCCAACATACACTTTTCGTTGCATTTACTAATAAAAATTTTTGAGTGTACCCCCCATTAATTTAACATCCTTATTAAGCAATGGCAATAAAGACATCTTTGGCTTATTGGTTATTTTTTTACGTTCAATTAAATTAGACCTATAACTCCAAATTTTATTACCTTTTTTTTTTCTACTACGCATCTGTGGCAAATGGAATCCATCCAATGCCAACAACCACACAAAAAAATCAATTGATAACATTAATGAGAATAATAAAAACCATAAAAATAAAAATATTGGTATATTTATAAAACACTACAGTGGAATTTAGTTTTCTATTCTAATCATATCAAACTTCAATTAAAGGTAGATTTAGCTGGGTTGTCTTCGCACCATTGAACGAGATCCCACACTTTTCCAGTGTTCCACCATATGGTCTCAAGTCGCATTTTAATGAATTCTCCAACTTTGTTTTTAATCAATTTAAGGTTTAAAGCGTTTTTAACGGCGACTTCAATGGACTTTGTTACTGCTTTGCCAGCAATGCCCAATCCAGTAATTTTTACCTAAAATTAAAATAATAGTACCTAAGTAATTTCATTGATATATCGTGTAAGTAGATAGCTATGACACAAAGTTCGAGTAAAACAACAATATAAATCCACAAGTACAATAACCCATACTTTATACTTTTGTTTTAACTACTTAAGTAGTAGTTTCCAGTTTTATGAGAAATTCGTGGAAAATTTCAATTTAATAGATAAAATAAGTACTCACATCTACATCTTCAACCTCCCAGTCGATTTTAACGTTGTTGACAGTACCGTTGCTGTGTTCGTTTGGTTTGGTTAAGTTGATTTGACCCTTCCACGCTGATTCTTCTAACTTAGCACTAGAAAAAAAAGTTGTACATAAGTATAGAACTATCGAAACATTACAGTTTGATTTTTATACGCTTACAGCCGGTTACAAGAACGATTGTTAAAATATCTCGATAGCTAATGAACTCATAACTTTATTCGCTCCTTCTTCTAAATGGTAAATTTGGCAACGGCGTTTTTCCAAATGACAGTATGAAGTAAAGTGTGTCGATATTCGAGATGCGAGAATTTTCTCTGTCTTTGTCATCCCATTTAAGAGAACATTCGGCAGGTGAAAACGAAAGATGTTTTTATAATGAGCTCAAAATTTGTCATAAGGAATGTCGTTCCGTATTACAATGCCTGCAAAGAAAGCCAAACGGCGAGAGTCGAGAGCGTCGAGACTAGACGAACTTTTAACATGAGAATTGTTAACAAAATATACTTATACTTATTTAAAAGTACGTAAAAAAAGGAATTTTAAGAAGATTTAACAATGTGAATGTGGATTTTACGATGAAAAACAAAGGATTATTCACAAATAGTAAGTACTTTAATTATAAGAAATAATATTTCTTTATTTACAAATAATATTTTCTTGTAGTCAAACCTACTATGCAGTGATTGGAATTTATTAATAATGCAAATGAAAATAACAAATTTTGGGAAACGAAAAGAAACAACATGACAGAATATAAAATAATATTAATTAGGTATCCTGTTCTATAATCTAAATTAATAACAAAAACGTACATTAAAAATCAAATAAAAATTAAAAAGTTAATGGTGTTCTACTTTTTTTATTATTAGTAAAAATAATATACATTTATAAAAGCTAAATTTCCTGAGCAACATTTAGTTTCATGAACTATTTAGATATTAAATTATAAGGGTTTGAATGTGGTCAATTTCATGAACAAAAATAAAAAATATATAAAATGGGGTGACTTGAAACAATTTTGACTTATTTAGAGCTGTAATTTAAGGATTTTAAGAAATTAGGCAATTAAAAAAATTGTCAGCTAAACTTTGGATCATAAAGAACAAATTCGAGACATTGCTAGAAGGGTTACCCCCACCACAAATTATAAAAAAAATAAATAGGCGTTGTTTCAAGTCATCCCAAAGTTGGGGTGACTTGAAACATTCATATGTTTCGATTATAGTTTCAATTCTGCTAGACTTGGGATGACTTGAAACAATAAAATAAATAGTTTAAACACTTTCAAATTGCTACCAACATCCACAATATTTTTTAAAGAAAGTTGCACAACTTAAAAATCTTTATTCAATTAACAGAACATAACAAAAAAAAACTTAACTTATTTTCTTCTAATAATAAAAGTTTTATGACTTAATACAGAAACAAAATACAGAACAAAAAACTAAACTTATTTTCTTATAATAATAAAAGTTTTATGGCTTAAAAATAGACCCCTGATGCGTAAACTTCATCTTCTGAGTGTCTCTACAGATTTTAACACTTCTTTAATTTCCTCTTGTAAGACAATTCTAATGTCTTCAATTGCCGGAAAAATGAATATATCGTGACTTTTTTGAGAACGTCTAAGAAATTTGCAAACATAGGAACCAGATTCTTCTGATAAAATTTTGGCCACATAATTTTTACCGGTGCCCTTGGTTGTCTTTAATGTTACAGCCACATATTCTCCAACTAGAGGAATTGTTCTTGTTCCAAAATTTTCCTCGACATTTTCGTTTTCATTATTGTTAATAACTTCTGAGAGAACACTTTGTTCGCCACCAGAAATTTCTTCTGTATCTTGTTCTTCTTCCGGGAGCGTATAATCGTTTTTCTTTTGTATATCTTGCTTAGCCCTTTCCTTTCCAACTGTCTTTCTTTTCTTAACCTTTGGTTTCGGAACATTCTCCTTTTCTTTTTCCTTTAGTTGGTCGTAGAAAATACTTTCACCTGGTGCAACTGTCAATTTTTTCTTTTTTCCCGACGTAGATGGTTCCTGAGGATTTCCGTAACGTGCATTTTGAAATATCTCGGACATCGATATTACAACGTTGTCTTCAACAGCTTGTTGTTCTATATTTTCATTTTCTTTCGGAAGCCTTTTAAGAATCTTCTCTCTATTCAAAGGAACTAAGCCAGTAGCCATGAAGCCACCTTTTATATTTTTCTCATTGGCTTCCGTATTCTGTAGAGCTTGATTCAACAGCTTAGGAAATACGTCTTTTCTTACAACACCCTTGTTATGCCTCTTCCATGCTTGAAGAGCTTTTCGCCACTGTTGTTTTATGGGTCTAAACACGCACACATCTAACGGTTGAGTTACGTGGCAGTAAAATAAATCTGATGTTATTCGATTCGCATAGTTGTATGACGTTTAGTGATAGGTGTGAAGCTAAATTGTCTCCAATAATTACTTTGGGTCCTGGTGGCAATGTCTTGAAATATGGAAGAGCGGTAGTTACGAACCAGTCTTCAAATAAGTGCATATCGAACCAGCCTGATGAACTCCTGTTGTATCGAGCTTTTTCTGGACCCCTCTCAGTCCATGTGGTCCATAGATGGTCTGCTTTATAAACAACGTAGACAGGCAACATTACTCCTGAGGCAGAACATGAAAACATAACAGATGTGTCAGATTTTGAGGTGTCTTGAATTTTTTCGGCCCTTTTGGACTTTCTGCGAACAATAACTTTGACCCTTCCTGGGTCATCGGTAAAATTAGTTTCGTCATAGTTAACCATTGCTGCTGGATCAACGTCTACTAAGGATACTGATAAATGGTCAAAATATTGATTTATTATGGCATAGTTGATTTTAGCTCTGCTTTGTTTAATTGACTGTGAGAACCTAGTGGATATCTCATTTCCATGTCGCTCAATGAAACTCATATACCACTCGTGACCTGGTCTGTTGTCTATAAATTGTTTAATATTGATTCCAGACCGATTTAAAAAAATTTGCACCAGATCCCTAACATCGGGTTCTTCATACGGGAATCCCCAGTCAGAAGCACAAATAATTGCACGAAGAATAACCATTTCTTGATTTTCCGACAATGCAGTCTGTCCGCCATATTTTTTTGAATGTAAATGTTTACATTGTCTATATAGCGTAGCATATGGTATTCCATATTGCTCACCAATACTTCTTAGGGTTCCTTGTTTTTTTTTTTATAGCAATTCATAGCCTTTTTTAATGTCTCTTCGCTAAAATCGGCATATCTTCGGGTTCCAGGTGTTCTCTTATATTTTCTGGGCATGTTTCAATTCACCCCTAAAATGACAATAAAAAATAAAGTCGCACGCCACTGCTTTAATTTTTATTTTATTTCAAAAGTAAGGTTATGAGCATTATCACAAATATATATGCATTTTCTTACCTTTTATTTCAATAATTCTCAACAGTGAAGAAACAAACTTCTGTGCTTTAAAACATGAATTATGTGAAGTACGTAGTCTACAGAAAGCATTAGAACAATATATTATCGATTCTCATCACTATTAATATTTTTGCTACCGAATAAAAGATGGCGCTGCAATTTGTTTTAAGTCACCACAATGTTTCATTTCACCCCATTTTACGGTAAGTACAAAAAAATGTTTTTCACTGTTTAAAATGATTCGGTCTTCAGGACTGAATGCAACTATTACTATTGAAATTTTATTAAAAAGAGGACAAGGCATCTATAAGTGTGATGTCTTCAAGATGAGGCAAAGGGCGGATTGCTAGAGGAGGGGAAAAGTTTTCTTTTATAAGTCGAGTTTGATAGGTATATTACCGGTTATTAGAGGTGTATTTAGGCCGGTTATATTTAACTTTATCAAGAAAGGGATGGAACAAGTACCTAAGTGTCTTCTGAATAGGAAGAAAGCGATGAGGTAATAACTGAGAATGTGGTACTTGCGAAAGACGCGAGAAACAAAAATCACCCTCCGTAAACCTGTTGAGTTGTTGTATCCCAAGAGACTAAATTAATACCAGTTGGCTAAAAGTAACATTAATAACTTCAGTAGTAACCCTAAAATACTGTCACTAAGATATTTAATAGAACTAATAGGTACATAAGGATCTTAAGATGTCATAAAAGTTACTAAACATCGGCTATTTTCCGTATTACATTTCTTGTTCTACTAGATTACGTGGGATATGGATATTGTTTTAGGCTTGTTTGTTACTATTCTAAAAAACAAAATGCTGTTCCACATTTACCTCAAAACAGCTCCCTGTATATCCTTTTTTATGCGTTTGTTACAATATGTAGACCATTTTCAAAATTCTGAAGCGTATAATTTTTTTTTCAGCATTTATTTCTTTTCTAAGTTGGACCTTTTAACAAAAACCTAGCTAAATTTAAAAAATATAGGATATGCAAAAATAATTAGTTATGGTCTAAAAATTATTGTATATACATTTATTTATTGGACCTTTAAGTAATGAGGCGTTAAAGGAATTCGTTAGTTATGGAAATACATAAAATATTTATTGGATCATTAACTAAAGGCTCGTTAATGTCCCATTAAAAAAACAGTTGAATAAATATTGTGGACATCTGCCATCTTTTAAAATTTTTTATCGAAGTTCTTTATATTAATATACATTAATATTTATACATATACGCATTTTTATACAATATTTTATATATTTTGGATTTAATATCAAGGTAGGTAGAATAGATAAAATAATATGCATATTATTATACCTATTTATGATAGGTAGGTAGGTAACAAAGTTGATTTTGTAGCAAGCGTTATAATTTTGAGAACTAAATCCATTGATTTTCTAAAGCAAATTATTGTTACCCTTATGGGCCTTATGTTTTATGCAACTAGATTATTTTAACAAAAAATTTAATAAACATTCTTAAAGTCTACCGTCTGGGGGTCGATTCTCGACTTGTAGGAATTTTTTCCTATAGGAATTTTTGACATTTTTCTATACATAGAAAATTTATGACATTTCCCTACATATAGGAAAGTGTCACAAATTCCTATAGGAAAAGGTTCCTACAAGTCGAGAATCGACCCCCTGGTAGGTACCGTGGGAAGGATAATATTCCAATTTCCAAATTCACTCTGCCGCACATACTTTGATTACTATACGGGACAAGAGAGAGGTCCGACACGCCCAACATAGGGCGCGGCCATTTTGAACCCTATGACACAGTTTATAGCTAAAGAATCAGATCGCTCACTCTGCGTCGGCACTTTTTGTCTCAATGTTCCAGTTTATACACTGCGCAACTCAGATAATACAATATATGACAACCGCCTATAATAAAACAGCAGTCTTCTGCGTATCCTGAATTTGTATCCCTGGAGTGGATGTTATTTTGGAACTTTCAACTGGTCCGAGTGAGCTAACTGATTCTTTAGCAATAAACTGTGACTCCAAAAATAATATTCACTGACACTGACAGCAGCAAGCAAAATATCAGGTGCGTTTTAATCATCCGCTTCTGCTTCCGGAATTGTCAGTTCAGTCGTTCTAACCTGTCAGATTAAAACAAGAAAACCGACAATTCCGAAGCAGAAGCGGATGATTAAAACGCACCTATTAAAAATATTGCTCCAAGATGTAGGCAACACGTAATAAGGGTTCAAAATGGCGGAGTTTTCTATCTCCTTTTAAAAGGCACTCAGAAAGCTGCGCAGTGCGACCATTCTCCGTACAGTAAAAGAAAATCAAAGTATGTGCTCTGCCGTAAACGCACCAGATTTGGAGGTTAACTTACGACCAATGATATATACTTACATAGATTGCTCATTTATATGTAAATCGGGCATCGAGACAGAATAAAGTAAAGACGACATAAACAATATTCTGCACTTCAAATGACGGAAAAGTGTAATGAAAATGGCGATTTGAGTGGTATTTTGATATATTTGAAGTCGATAATTTTATTTATGAAGACTGACAGAATGAAAATGATTTTATATCATTTAAATGAAGATATTTTCATGAAAACTGACTAGACAAGACGCGGATTTCACTGGGCGAAGTTTTCTCTATATCCATGCCGCGTTTGAATTGCATTTTTTTACATCTCGAGCGTTCGTTTATTCACATCGGACACATCTATCCTACTACATTTACGTATTACTGTATTACGTGATCAAATATTTACAACATCTCAGATGCATCCGATGTGGATATTCAAACCCGACACTAATACATGCAATGTTTTCACTCAATTTTGAGTACTCAGTTATAAATTGTAAACATAGTGTCAGAGGCAGAGTATTGTATTAAAGCACTCATGAGTAATTCACAATGAATAGCTTCGTAAAATACTCATAATAAGTATCTGAGTATGAATACTCATATGAATAATACTTAATACAAATAAGTGCTTTCGCAAATTTTAGAGAGTACTTTGAGTACTATGTATAGTGTTTTCTTGTCATTCAGATTTTTACACATTTAAATGTACATTTTATAGTTATAATTAACCTGGGCATTTACCATTGGGCTAGTAGAAGCCCACCAAATGGCCACTTCAAAAAAATGGGGTAACTAGAGACACCTCTCGGCGATGTTAATAATTTACAGGACATTGATGATCTGAGAAGATGGATGTCTGTAGTCTGCGTCAACCAGCAGGTTTTATTTCTGCAGGACTTTGATTAGTTGAGATGGCTGTTTGTAGACACCCCTCAGCGTCAACCAGCAGGTTTTGGCGGGTTGATAACCTGCAGGACTTTTATGAGCTATGAAAATGCAGCTGTCTCTAGACATCTCTCAGAGGCAGGTTTTATATACCCCTGGAGGATGTGGAAGTATCCACCTTCCCCACCTTATAGATACAGATAGTTTATATTGTTAATTGAAACTAATGTAGGATGTTGCTATGAAATTAGAATGTCCATTTTGACAAAAAATATCATGTCCTATTTATAAGATGGCAGCAATTTATAAAATTAATTTTATTTAGTTCTGTATGTTCTGTATAATTGATAATACATTTTTGTTATTTTAATCAGTGTTTTTTATGTTTAATGGCTCAGATATTTACAATATGTCTCAATTTATGATTTTATGTGTTTTATGTAGGCTTTGTTACTGTTATAAAATTGTTTAAATCTCTTAATATTATTTGACGATGTGGATACTTGACATTACAACACGAAAAAATTTGTGTTTAAAACACCTTACATAATATCGAGTCTTGAAGTAAAATAGGTTATTCTTTTTTTTTTCTTCTAAATATTCAAATGCTAAAATTTTATTTTAAAACCCGTTTGCGCCAGAACGAATTTATTCAGTGAACACTTGAAAATGCGCTTTTTGTAGTCCTATTTAAATATGGGTAAGCAATCTTTATAACGATATATATCATTGGTCATATCGCGAAAAACGCACCGTGTTGCCAGATTTACGACGTTCAATAGCTATCGAGGATCGGAATTCATTTTTAGTGGATCATTAGTGCTAATGAGTCTAAAAATATTTAACGATCGTTCTTGCAACCGGCTGGTAAAGTTGAAGATGTAAAAAAGATAATCATCCAAAATAAAAATTGAAAACATACGAGAATGTTCCGTGTTGTTCTTGGTGGAAGAAAAGTTCATGTTCTTCGGCTTCGTATTTTCCTGCGAGTTCCATAAGTTTCCAGTAGAGTTCGAAATCAAAGACAGCATCGGTGTCAGTGTCGTAGCTTTTTTGACTTGCCGACAATTTCCAGGTGGCAAGACCAGCCCAGGTCATGTTGTGGATTCCAATTTTGGCACTTAAATATTAAATTGAATAATTATTGTATGTTATACTATTAGAAAAATGTAACTTTCGAAAAAATATTTACACAAAAATTTATTCTATTAAAGAACTTACTCAACGACACCAATTTGTCCCGCCCAATTAAAGACAGTTTTAAGCTCAACATAAGGATCATGGGATGGAACTCCCAATTCAGGAACCCCACCGCTGATGGCTCTTTTGGCACAAGCCATGATGGCCAAACCTTTGTCGAGGTCAGAAGCTGAAACAAAAAATTACACTTTTAGTCAATTATACAAAAAAGCTGTTGAAACTTGAATGCATCCGTTTGTTGCACATCGTCATAAACTTCTTATTGCTATTTATTTCTGCTGCGCAAAAGTTTGTGGTGTTGTCACATGTTAAGAAAGATTATAAAGAATTTTATAAAATGTTAGAAGTAACAAATAGAATAAAATCGTGAAATTTTTGTCGTTGCTTAGTTAATATCCACTGTTTCAATTTACCTATAAAGATCTATAGAATTTAAATTTTTAAGTTGCGCCAGAAGTGCGTTAAATATTTTAGGATTGAGATATACAAAACTTCTTTGCCCTAGAGTCTTTTCCATTCTAGGTACGATTATCACATGATTTTTATAACGTGTTGGGTATAAATGTTGTACTGGATTGCTAAAGAAACTATGCTTCTTCTGAAATATTGCAACTTGTAGGTAAAACAGTTGTCTCAAACTTCTGCTTCTAAAAATAAACGTTCCGTTGGGTAAGAATAGTTTCTATTATAAATAATTTTTAAAATCTATGTATTATTTGTAAATGTTTAAGGGCTCTCAAAGATAAGGGACATGAAACCCTGTGATATGCCGATGATCTAGTGATCATGGCACAGGGAAAATACAACACTATAGTAAGAGATCGAATGCAAGAGGCTCTAAATCTAGTAACAAAATGGACAGAGGCGGAGAGCGGAAACGTCATTAATGATGGCAAGGCGATCCTTTGGAAAAAAATGGGGGTTAAAACCAGACATGGTATACTGGATTTATAACATGGTGGTGAGACCCATAATAACATACTCAGATTTGGTGTGGTGGCCAAAGACACAGCAAAGGAAAGCAATAACGAGGCTTAGCAAGGTACAAAGACTTGCCTGCCCCGGAATAACGGGGGCAATGAAAACAACCCCCACTGCTGCAATGGAAGCACTAATAGGACTCCCACCTCTTCACTATGTGATACAAGGGGAGGCAAGATTAGGTGCTTACAGATTAGGGAATACACTGGGAAATCTTGACATTAGGCCAGGTCACATGAGTATCTCAAGGTTAGTGACAGGAGACGTGCTAGACATGAGATCAGACCACTTAACCAAGAGGTACTCTTTTAATACTCCCTTTGAGGTTTTAATACAGGAAAGAGCGGATATCACCATAAGGGAGCCCAATGCCCAACGACAGGAACAAACCTGGTATACAGACGGGTCTAAGACTGCGGAAGGCACTGAGGCAGGAGTATTCTCCAAAAACCCTGATACTAACCATAGCTATGCTATAGGAATACATTCCTCGGTATATCAGGCAGAGGTATACGCAATTTTTCAATGTGCAAAAACGAACAATGAAAGAGCTGTCGAAAGTCAGCATATTCAAATAATGTCAGACAGCCAAGCGGCACTTAAGGCCATATCGAGTCAGAAAGTTACGTCGAGGCTGGTATGGGAATGCATCGAAGAACTAAGAACACTGGCAGACCGAAATAGAGTAAAACTATTTTGGGTGCCAGGTCACAAAGGGATCGAAGGCAACGAAAAGGCTGACGAACTTACAAAAAGAGGGTCAGAAGAAACACCGGAACCAGACACAAACCCAGGAGTACCAAAAAGTACAGTCCGGGGTTTTATAAATGACTGGATTCGGGAACAACATATCAACTATTGGGGAAGCACCCCAAAACAGGCACATGGAAAAGCCTTCATAGGCAGACGATGTTCCAAAAGAACTGGAGAACTACTCTTAATGAATAGGAACCAGTTGAAAGTGATAACAGAGTTCATGACTGGGCACGCCCCAGTAAAGGGACACTTGGACAAAATTGGCATGTACAATAGGGAACTTATGTGCCGACTATGTCACAAGAAACCAGAAACGGCCAAACACATACTGTGCGAATGCGAAGCTCTAGATCGCAAAAGACAGGCTCTTTTTGGACAACCCCAGGTTGACCCAACAACGTATAGAACCCACTCACCCAAGGATCTGTACAAACTTGTACAAGGTACAAAGGTGATAGAGTGGGTGCTATGAACTAACATGGGGTAAAACACAATAAGCCAATAGGCTTCAGTGTTATTCGGAGACACATAGTCAGACGAGCCCAGGAAAAAAAAATGTTCATTATAACAGACTATTCAAAAAACAAAAATAATTTTTGATAAAATATACTTAAAGTAGTTCACTCGCGACAGTCGTACATAAAAATATCGCGTAATGGTAAATACTAAAAGTTTGAGATTCTCAATGCTAATCAATTTTATTTTTATCAGAGACTGTACAAAACACATGTATATAAACACATTTGGACATGTTATACTTTTAATCAAATTCATCCGGCAATCTCGCAAATATTTAAACGACATGGTATAGAAATTTGTGACTTCCTCATACTAATTTTAAGGGTTTGTTTTGGTTCAAACAGAACCGCTGATTCCAGTTCTCAAACACAGTGGACGAATTAATTTTTCAAGAACACGTCGCGAGTTTATAACAACCTCTTAGCTGATCGAGTGTTACTTTGTTACGTGAAGTGACTACAATGTTGCCAAGTTGTAATAATTTTAGGAAACTACTCGTTAACTGCTTTAAAAATATTTTTATTTTAAAAATCTATATCTTTTTACTAAGACGGTCAAAAAATTCAGCGATTATTTCTAAAATTTTATAATTTCTTGATTTATTTAACATTAGTTTTTAAAAAAATATGGTAAGAACCGTTTTCGAGATATCTTGAAATAAATGCATTGCTTGTGTACATGATAATAATAATAATATTAATAATAATAATAATACTCTGCCTAATTCACCCCTTTACGAGTGAATTTCAACCCCTGAAGTCGTCTGAACGACTTGTGTAGGGGAAGGGACGGCTATTATTATTATTTGCCGTGGCGCTCCGGGGCGACTTAAAGATGATTGATGGTGCCATTTGACTTACAGGTGAGGAATACCCGGAAAACCTCACCCACCATCATCGAGACGGTAATGTATGGCGAATTTTTTTAATCTGCATGTCATATCAACAGAAATTGAATTTCTATTAATACGCCACACATCAAATCCTAAACCGAACCATGCAATTTAATTAAAAATCCACATGGTCTGGTCTGGGATTCGAAACCCAGCAGTCTCAGACTCATAAACTTGTCTATAATTGAATATAAGCGCGATAGACCGCTACACCACCGTCCCGATAGGCTTTAAGAGTGTTAATTATGCACATTTTGATTGTTAATATCTCGTTTCACAGACGGTCAAAATATCTAATTTTTTTTGGTTACGTAAACGACACTTTCATAAACCTTATATTTAAATTTTATTGAATACCTAAGAAAAGCCGTTTTACGAGTGAACTACCTTAAGCAATAATTTGCTGAAATTACATCTAATCGCTACATATTATAAAACCAAAGTACCTTTTCATTTAACTAACTGACGCATGGCTACTCTAAGTTTGAATATTATAAATCCGCTTGAATATAAAAAACAACAGGTATAGAAAATATTTTTTAAAGAGACCGTTTATTGTCCACTTAAATCGATCAGTAAAAACTAAATATTTGTTGTATCCGTGGCTCTTAAACTTGCCTTAAAACGAAAATAATTCTGTAGTGGGTCTAGAAAAACTTATTGATTAGTTTAATTTAAAATGATCTAACTTTATGTATATACATAACATTTTCTTAATTATTCATTGCTTGAAATTATTTTTAAAAAATATTAAAACTCCTGGTATTTTATTGTAAAGTGTCTTACCGGAGGCAACAAATGCCAAAGCCAATAAAGCAATAACTTTTACAGCAAACATGATTATTTAGATAGTATTTCACTACACTGAAATTAAAAGTAAAAAAAATCAATTTTTATAGATGTAAAAATTCTTATCAGCGGACAATATTGTTTTGTTAAAGAGATCCGAAAGATTATTTTAAAAACATAAGTGGTTCAAAGGTTGGTAAATCAGGGCTTTTATTTTTCCACTTCTGATTAAAAATCATACGATTATGAAAGTATATTTAATTAACCGAATAAGGTAATTAAGATTAAGAATAATGATTGAATACTAATATATTATATAAGAAACCAGAAGGTCAAGCTGCTTAAAAATGTACAATCCAAAGTTTTAAGCAGACTAAATGAGTGAAGATTGATTAAAAAAGTTATAGATGTGAACAATGAAAAATATTTCACGTTATCCTACATAATGACGGTTTGTCCTTTTAATCACCATTGCACGCCACTAGTAACTCTATACACATTTTCTTTATTTATTTATAAATTTGGCAACCTAACAAGCAAATAAATGCCCAATTATAAGGTTGCACGAAAAATAAATTACACATTTTCATGATCACTACATCATACTAACTTAATACTGAAATTAACAATAATTAAAAAAAAGTGACAATAATTTAAAACGCAGGTTTAGTTAATAACTTAATAGTTTAGGCACCGTACATAAACAAAGAATAGTAAATCCACTCTCTATAATACCAGAGACAATCCAGCGAGACGTGTAACTCAATGTATTTTTTTTGTTCGGTAAAAGTTATTTGGGCGATTGTAACCACAACCAGTCTATGATGGCGCCACTAGTAAATAGCGGGAAAATTAAAAATGCTTTAGGGCGGGAAATTCAAACATGGATTCAGAAATAAAGTTTTTCTATACAAATTTACAGGAGAAACAAAAACTATTGTTTCACTGTATATTAAAAAAATATAAAAGCTTCCAATAACATCAAAATTTTTATCACATAAATAATCATTTTAATAAAGGAAGTTTTAATCAGTTTAATATAAACAGTGAACAAAGTTTTTATTACTCTTGTAAATTTCGATAAAAAAAAACTTGAAAATTCTATTGATTATTAAATATTTAAACTTGGAAAAATAATACACCAAACTCTTTTTCTATAAATTATATTTTTGTAAGGTACAGAAAAACAAACTACAATTGCTTCGTTTAGAAAGTACCTCGTATCATTTTGTGACAAATTACAAAGAAAGTAACAGTTGTTATATATTCATAATATATTTAAAAACTAATGTAACAAATATTTTATAAAGTATAGTATCAATACCTTTTTGCCAGACTATCATAAGTGCCATTTGAACAAATGTCACTTATGTTAGTCTGGCAAAAAGGTATGGATATGTTATGACTGTTTATTTTAATAGAAACCATGGAAACGAAACACACATACACTCAACACAAATGTATAAGGCCCGAGTCAAGTAAGTTACCATCCTGTAAACTGGATCGAAACCTGCTAGACCCCTGCTAACTCCTCTTATAGTAATTAAGATCAATAGATTTATATGCCATGCCTTCTAAAAGGGAATGAAGGATGACATACTATCATCATTTAAACAGGACGCTGCTGAAGGCTTACCCCTGTTATTTCGTTTGTTTGTGTATCTTGTGTGTGTGTGCATTCCTGTTGTGTCCCCAGTCATGTAAAAGTTTTCCTAGTCTCGTAATTTGGTTACTAGGTGGACCTTCTCCAACTAGTAGTCTAATCTATTCGATCTGTTCGGAAGCAGGAGGTACTTTTCAAACATAGCAAATAATATTATTAATAATAAACACTATTTAAAGATAAATACATTTTTGTAATTGCCCCTTACCTTTCTCTTACACCACCAGGGTATGCCTATTTTCCATATTCCCTTACAATGTTCGAATGAATATAACATTTTAATCATGAAAAATCTAATTTCATATTTAACTCTTTTTCAATTTCATTTGAAACAATAATTGGTACCTGTATTACAATTTATTATCAAAGAAAATTTCTAATAAAATTATAGCAAATCCTACTTAAACTACTGGTTGTTCTGCAGGATAAATTAACTTTTCTTGAGATTGATCTCTCTATAAAATCCAAAACCGACCTGATGTCCCCAAATTTATTTTCCAATGCATCCTGATTTAAAATTCTGCCCTTTTGTGATTCAATTTTTTTTTCTTCCTTTAGAGTGGCTGTTAGAGGTAGGTGTATGTAAGAAATAGCTAATCTCTAATCATTTCAAAAGTCCTTTGCCAATACTACACGTGCAGATTTTTTACTCAGCATACATTTTACTTTTCTAGTAGATAGGAACTTTGTGCTGCCATTAAAGCTGTCCAGACACATTCATCTACCTACTTAATGAACACAAGTAGCTGTAACAATGGATCTCTGTTCCAATTTACCTAAAATAATTATAGTCATTGTGTAATATATTATTAAACACACACATTATACAGTGGTTTTCTTAATAAATTGGAAATTACTTACCTCTAGAAAGAAATGTGTACAAAAACGCGAGTTTGGTTCCAGAAATTGCTTCATGCAAAAAATAATATGCAAAAATAAACATTCCCCGCAAAGAAAATTAATTAAACAACAAAATCAGACTAAAAGAAATATACGGGGCCCAAATTAAATTAATTTTAATAAAATGCACATGTTCATAACAACATTCATAACATTGTCAGTTGTCAGTTTTAAGTTTTAATACTTTTAATCGATATTTGGACGTCAAAAAACCAGTAACACGAGCGCCCTCTGAAAATGGTGTTAGTTTTATTGGAGAGAGATAGACATATGTAAAGATCAATGTAAAAGAAAAAGAGGGTCATATATGTAATTTAAATGGACCACCGAACATATTTTCCTATTAAGTTACACGTCTCTGTTGTCTCTGATAATACCGACCAGTCCGTTGCCGCCAGTCGAAAGAGCATGCAATCAGCCTGCGCTCGCTGCTTGATGCACGGTGTGTAGCTTTGACAAGTTTCCGAATATTGTAAAATTGTATAGGGTGGTGTTTAGTTGGCTATTTGTTTTTACTATTAAAATGTCAAACAGAAGGAAGTGGTGCAAATTACTGGTGTGTGGATGGCTGTGATAGCCAAGAAGGTGGAGGTCTGTCTTTTTTTCGGTGTCCAAAAAACAAAGAAAGGTAAGTCGACTTTAATAAAAAAGTATGTCTCAGTTAATGATTATGATGACTTTTTAGGTAGCCATTAAACCTTCTATTATTTTTCTATTTTAGATAAAGCGACTGGCGAAGGAGGTGAAGATACCATCAAAGTATACGTAGATGCAAGCATTCAAACAAATTATAGTGATGCAAAAAGTAAGCACTGATTTGCAAAATAACTTTTTAATTTATTGTACTATGTTATGTAAAAAAAATCCCAAAGTAATTTTTATATTTTAGGTGCATCCAGTCAAATCTCGAATTGTCTTTCGAATAGAACTCCGACAAAAACGCAGTTGAAAAAAAATTCATGCATTGAAGAGGACTGCAAACAACCTCAGGTGCAGAAGAAGGCTGGATCGTAAAATAAATTCTAAAGAAAGCACCAAGAGGCTCCCGGTACACGGAGGAGTTTAAGCAATTTGCTTTGAGTATATATTTTTTAGGCCCTAAGGCCTATAAAAAAATTTCTAGCGTGTGCAGACTACCTTCAAAAGCGACTCTTCAGCGATTCACTAAAAGATACGTCATAAGCCCCGGTTTCAACGATTTTATATTTCAAGTTTTAAAAATAAGAGCCAGACTTCTTGGGAAAAAAGAAAAAGATTGTTTCATTTGTCTAGATGAAATGTTAATAAAATCGAATCTTTTTTATGAAATTTCAAAAGATAATATCGTGGGTTTTGAAGAAACTCCAAACAGACGAAGTACAGAACTTGCCACTAGTGCACTAGTGGTGATGGTGCGCGGTTTAGCCTTTAATTGGAAACAGCCGATCGCATATTTCTTTTACAAGTCTGCAGCAGTACTTAATGAGATCAAAGATATCTTGTTTAATGTTGTCATAAGGTTGAGCGATGCTGGTTTAAATGTCTTAGGTGCAGTTTCGGACCAAGGACCGAATTTTCAAAAATTTGTTAAAAATTGTTTAAAACTGACCGAAGAATTGTTTTCCTTTTTTGTAAATGGTAAAAAATTTATTTACATATTTGATGTTCCTCACCTACTCAAATCAACACTAAATAATTTTTTTAAATACAAATTCTTGATGGAAAATGGAGAGACAAATAAAAAATATCTGGAAAAAATATACAGTCTAGATAAACTAAAGGACTATGTCCTAGGTTGACTGATAATCACATTTTTCCAAACAACTTTCAAAAAATGAAAGTTAAGTACGCTTCTCAGGTTCTTAGCCATTCTGTAGCTGTTGCCCTAAACACCTACATTGATTTTGGAATTTTACTGAAGCAAAATCAACAGCAATTTTTGTTCAAAAAATGAACGACTTATTTGATTTACTTAACTCCTGTCATTTAAATAATTGTAACGCATTTATGGGTATTGAAAAGCAGATTGGGTTTTTGAAAACAATGTTATTATATTTATTTGAATATGTTAAAGTTATGGACAACGAAGGAAAAGATGTAACAAAAAAAAAATGCGATTTCTTTTTGGCTGGAAAATGACCATAAGAGGTGTTTTAGAATTATGGCAAGACCTTAAAAATAATGAATATAGTTTTTTTTAACACGCAATCTTAACCAAGATTGCCTGGAAAATTTTTTTGGGCAGGTGAGAAATTGCTGTGGGAACGCAAGAAATCCTACTCCAATTCAATTTTGCAGAGCATTTAAAAAGCTTTTTCTACTTGGGTTTTTAGACGAAGTTAATGGAGCAAATTGTCAAGAAGACCATAATGAGCTTTTACTAAACCTCTCCACTGAACTATTAAAAACTTGCAAAGAAATTTTTTCACCTGTTACACAAACGTCTCTTTTACAAATGACTACAGAAATCTAAAAAGTACAGAAGGAAATGTGTTAGTATATGTTACCGGTTATCTTTTGAAAAAATGT